TCCTGAAGAACGGTCCAGAGCGCAGGCGGAGTGTTTAGCTAACCTGCAGGAAACGTTGACGACAGTTATCCAGAAAGTAGCTAAGGGTTACCAGAGATGTTTCTCAGGTGTTCGCTAGGTACTTTTAAGTTAAAAAGTCAAGAAGGGAGTCTGAAAAGCTGTTAGAAAGAGTGTCACAGTCACTAAGTTGGCAACACTGTGGGAGGAGCGCTTCATTTGCAACTCAGGGCAGCGCAAGCGGGAGGAGCAAATAATCGGCTTGTTTTGTTTTTTATAATCGTTCAAAACTCAGATCGTAATCGTAATTAAAATTCGATTAATTGAGCAGCCCAACACACACGCACACACTCATCTACATGATTTTTAGGAACACCTGTTCAACTTCTCCTTAATGCAGTTATCTAATCAGCCAATCACATGGCAGTTGCTTCAATGCATTTAGGGGTGTGATCCTGGTCCCGAACTCCAAACTGAATGTCAGAATGAGAAAGAAAGGTGATTTAAGCACGGTTGTTGGTGCCAGACGGGCCGGTCTGAGTTTTTCTCAAGCTGCTCAGTTACTGGGATTTTCATGCACAACCATTTCTAGGGTTTACAAAAAAATGGTGTGAAAAGGGAAAAACATCCAGTATGCGGCAGTCCTGTGGGTGAAAATGCCTTGTTGATCCTAGAGGTCAGAGGAGAAGGGGCCGACTGATTCCAGCTGATAGAAGAGCTACTTTGACTGAAATAACCAGTTGTTACAACCGAGGAATGCAGCAAAGCATTTGTGAACCCACAACACGCACAACCTTGAGGCGAATGGGCTACAACAGCAGAAGACCCCACCGGGTACCACTCATCTCCACTACAAATAGGAAAAAGAGGCTACAATTTACACAAGCTCACCAAAATTGGACAGTTAAAGACTGGAAAAATGTTGCCTGGTCTGACGAGTCTCCATTTCTGTTGAGACATTCAAATGGCAGAGTCACATTTTGGCGTAAACAGAATGAGAACATGGATCCATCATGCCTTGTTACCACTGTGCAGGCTGGTGGTGGTGGTGTAATGGTGTGGGGGATGTTTTCTTGGCACACTTTAGGCCCCTTAGTGCCAATTGGGCATCGTTTAAATGCCTTAGGCTACCTGAGCATTGTTTCATACCATGTCCATCCCTTCATGACCATCATGTACCCATCCTCTGATGGCTACTTCCAGCAGGATAATTCACCATGTCATAAAGCTCAAATCATTTGAAACTGGTTTCTTGAACATGACAATGAGTTCATATTACTACAATGGCCCCCACAGTCACCAGATCTCAACCCGATAAAGCATCTTTGGGATGTGTTGGAACGGGAGCTTCGTGCCCTGAATGTGCATCCCACAGATCTCCATCAACTGCAAGATGCTATCCTATCAATACGGGCCAACATTTCTAAAGAATGCTTTCAGCACCTTGTTGAATCAATGCCAAGCAGAATTAAGGCAGTTCTCAATCAATCAGTCAAAGCTTTATTTATAAAGCGCCTTCGGCAACCCTGTCAAGAAGCCCAAGGCGCTGAACATGGTACAGTAGAAGTACAAATATAGTGAATAAATCAAAAATAAAAGCAATTCAGAAATAAAAGCAATTCAAATTACAAATTACAAAAAAAGGTAAAACATTCTAGTACAGGACAGATGGGTAAAACAGTGGATAGAGTGAACCAATGAAAACTGTAAAAGAAATTCAATGTAAAAGAGGGCCAAATCAAACATGTTCAGGAAACGCCAAGCGGAGGAGGTGTGTTTTTAGGCTGGTGCCTATCTCCAGCGGTCAACGGGCAATCAGGTGGGGTACACCCTGGACAGAGAGCCAGTCCATCGTAGTTTCCATTTTGTCATCAGTATGGTTGTCTTTATCCAGCCATTGTGTGTATGTTTATCTTGATATTGGTCTTCTTGCGTATTTATTTTGTGAGTCAACATTTCCATTACATATATCTCACTCAAAGTCTTTTTTACCAGTCATGTTGTACTGGAGGATCTGCTTTGTACCATTTTCTTGTGATTGCTTTTTTGCATGCTGCCAACATAAATTTCTGTAAATATCTATCTTTTTTTATTTCAATGTTGCCTGACATATTGCCCAGATATGTTAACACACAAGACTTGGGTTTACTTTAGCTATTAACAAGTACCTTGTGAATATTCTCCTTAAAGTGTCTAATTTTAGCACAAAACCAAATAACATGAGAGTGGTCTACATTCTGCCTTTTCTCCAACATGCCAATGGTACTGACGTATGTCTAATTCTGGATGTGACAAAGCATTTGATCAGATTTTTCCAACAAGTCAAACTCCTACCCTGTGATGATGTGGATGTTTGCTAGTTGGTTCTAAACAAAATCTATAGCCTGTAAAGCCATCCTATATATGTAAATATATAGTCTGCCCACGACCCTTAGACAGAGCAAGTAGATAGTGCTATGACCAATCAGAGCAATGAATGTGACATATTCAGCACTATGGATGTTGGCCAATGGGGTTCGCCATACACCCTCAAAGAACAGGCAAATACGTACCCTTTCTAAATAAAGTAGCTCTATCTGCTAATGTCTCGAAGAAAAGCCCAAGTCTAAATGGTCAAAAGTTGATGCCAAAACCATTTCAAACATGCACTGTTCCTGAGCCAACATCATCATTTTACATTTTCTCTGTTGTATCTCTGGTGCTAGACTCGCCCAATGTTTGTCTATGAACAAAAAGATCTGTGACCGGCAGGGCCTAAACTTAGTCGAGCCAATGGTAGCGTAGCTAAACTGACCTGCAGAGCAAAATCTTTTGCTACTGCAACAGTTTGTCTAGATTTTTAGGCTAAACAACATCTTTGAAGTGAATTGGGTGACACTATCCACCTGATCAACTACATTAATCAGTTCTTCTCCATCCACAATGAGACATTACATTTCCCTTCCTTGTACAAATTGTTCTAAATTTTCAATTTGGATGCATAATCTTTGTCATACCAACCAATTTTAGGTCTAATTTATGCTGAATGGAAATATTCCTTAAATGTGTCAATGTCCTACCTCCTTTGTCTAAAGATTCAATATTTATTGCGAAATTCTCAGCAATTTTAGGTGAGATTAAAAAGAGATTCAACTAGAATAAAGGAGCCATACCATGGAAAATCCACTTTTTTGAGCCTTTTACCATGTGATATTGTAACTTCCTCATGAAAACAACCCCCAAACTCTTTGTGGCTGCATTCATGCATTTTCCTGTATCAGCTGTAAATTTAGAGTTTTACTTTGAAAATCCTGAAAACGCCTGAATGAAAACTACTTGCGTCATCAGGCATTTTTCTTCTCCCTGAAGATGGTGGTCTTGGTTCTGAAATCAGGATAATCCATGGATATTCATACAAATTACTTCTGCATCGGGGACAAAACACCGCCATAAAAACCATGCATTCTGTTTACAAAGACATACGAAATGATCAGCACAGGATAGGTATTTTAGGCGACTATTATTTTGTAGCAGACTCGTTAGTCAAGTGGTTAGAGTGACAGACTGGTGAGTAGTTTTGCGCAAGTTTGCCTCCCGGTTGCAACATTAATAATAATAATAATAATAATAATAATAATAATACATTTTATTTAAAAGCACCTTTCAGAACACTTACTTGACAGTAACTGTTTTACTTTTTTTTTCAGCCACTCTTGCCAGTATTATGTTTTCAACCGTTTATTGGTAAACCGTTTGAAATATAAGGGTTAGTTATTATTTTTTTTCTTTCTTTTGTTTATTTAGCCAATGCGAGTGTGAGGTGAGCATAGTAACTCAACTAAAACGCTGCTTGGAAATGACCAAATTCAAAGATTTTTAGAAACACAAAATATTTTGCAGAAAATAATAAAACTCAAATATAAAAAAGATTAAGTCTGCTTCAGCTGACTAAATAAATTACCGCCGACGCCACAGAGAGTTGAACCTACATCAGCACACGGCAAAACAAGATGAAAGGCAGTTACTGTGACCACTTGACTTCCGAGGCCAATACAACTGTGGGCTTGCCTTTGACGGTCTTGTAAGTGCATGTTGTCAGAGCAGGGTGGGCGGAGTTTCACTGAATCAAACAGTTTTGTTTCCAGGTATAAATTCAGGCTGACAAAAATAACTCATATTTTAGATAAATGGCATCTCAGTAGTGCCAAACGGTTATATACTGTGCCTACCATTGTGCTCAAACATTTAAAATAGCGTGATATGTAACCTCTGTTGACTGCACTAATATAAAAATGAACAGATATGACAAAAAATGTTTCTTTCATTTGTTTTGAAGCCATCTTCAATGTGCAAGCTAAGGCCAAGAGGGTTGAGCACAGGCTAGAGGTTTTGTGCAAAATAGGTTTAGAATTGATTAACCTAATTAATTATTTAATGGACTGCAATGTTGTTACACTTAAAGAGACAACAGCAGAAAAGAGCTGGACAGCCATGAGTGTCTTGTGCCAAAGCTTTTCACTACTGAACTGTCAATATAGTCAGTGTGCAAGACTCCTCTAGAAATTTTCCAGCCGATATGTGCGTGTGGGGGGGTTACATTCGCGGGGTAAGGGAGGGGGTAATAGTTGCGAGCGGGAAACACTGGTGTGATTGATAAAGCTGAGATGTTTTAATGAAATTGCTTCATCATCAATCTCAACATACACCATCACAAGGTTTAGCTGTCCTGCACTTTACTGTGAAGCTAATAGGAGGTTTTTTTTGGATACAATAAATTAAATATTCACATTTAATTTACATTGGCGACCAGTCACTGTTTGTTTTGTCTGACTTTACTTGGGCGTGTCTTTGTTCTTTGCTTGTCGTTTATTTATTGACTTATTTATTTATTTATTTAGTTACAGCTCGTTAAGGAAGCGGATAACTTGTGTACTAGCACCTTGTGACTTTTGTACCTTGAAAGGTGCTATATAAAAAAACAATTCTTCTGTTATCATAGTCCTCTAATTGTTTGTATCTTTTAGGATAAGGGAAAAGGAAAAGGTTTGGTGAAGAATGCTGCTTTGGAGGAACAGGATGCTCAGAACCAAGAGAGCGTTGCTTTCTGTAAAGACATCGCAAGGTAAGAGGCTCGCTGGTGGTTTAATGATGTGCTGATATGCTGACAATGTAAAGTAGCTTTTGGCTTTAAAATACAAAAATATTTTATTTTCAAATAGCTTTTGTCTATGGTTACAGTTTGTTAACTTAAAGAATGGATCAATTGTTTAGTTGATCTTGTGTCTGAGCAGTGTTTTACCAGTATTCAGTTTGGGTGGAATGATGACAGAATTAGAGATTAACTAGTATAATTTCAAAGTTGTATTGTTGTCCAATGTCAGTATTAAAGTAGATATGTTATTCATTTATCTGACCTTTTTAGTGTGCATTTCAGTATCACTTTTGTTTTTGTTTCTACTGTTTTTACGTCTCCTTCTTAAACTACCTGTAATGCAGTCATCAGTCTTCTCTGAGTATTCGTGATACCTGGCTAGTTTTCATTGGCTCAATTCATTTTTGACTTCCCTTCTTTTGTAATTTTTATTGGTCTTGCAGCCTGCGTTCCAAATTTCCTCATGATGACATGACAACCAACCCAGGCTTTGTCCTCAGCCCGGTCATCTCCCAGAGAGATGGTGGCGGAGCCAGCAGCTACTCTGTCAAAGTTTCTATTGAAATCTCTGACTCTCAGCAGCCTGTAACTTTCACCTGTGATGGTAAGCAATGAAGGAGAATTTATCAGATAAATTACATGCACCAGTTTAATAATAACAAAGAAATATTCACTCTATAATTTTATAGGTACATTTATTAGAACAGTGAGAGACATAACAATAATTTAAAAAATATTTTCAAAAACACTAGCACTTTTATGAAGGAAGACAGTATTCGTGAAAAATTTGAGCCAGGCCTGCCCAACTGGCAGACGTGGGAGTGTCTCATGCTGGACATTTTTGAACCTCGTTGGACAATGTCCTTGCAGGCTTCAGATTTGTATTTATTTATTAGTGAGTTATTTTGTGAACTCTGACCTTTATTATTATTAATAATAATACATTTAATTTCTAATGCACTTAAAATTTACGCAATATCATAGTGCTACACAATAACAAGGTTCATAAAATAAATAAAAGAAGAGTTTATAAAATGTACTCAACAAAAGGTTTTCCTAAACAATATAAGTCTCAAAGTTCTGTTTAAGAGCATCTACAGTTTGTGGGGCCCTCAGGTGGACGGGTAAGACATTCCACAGCCTTGGAGCAGCGATTAAAAAAGCCCGATCACTGGGGATGTGAGTCTCAGAGCAACTCACTATTTGATTTGATTCCGATTCTCGGGGTGCCGATTCGATTCAGAATCGATTCTCGGTTTAAATTGATTCACAATCAATATGAACAAAGAGTGTCAGTTCCAAGATGAACTACTTTGTTGTACAAGTTAGTTAACGCTATGGGATTTTTTTTATTTTACTTTAAACTGGTCATGCTAAAAAATAGCTAATTCACAAGGTAAAATAAAGTGATTCTAAAACTGTAAACAGAAACAATCTTTTGACCAAAAGACAACATTTATTTTTGCTTACCTTGTAAAATATAACCAATCTGTAGTTACCTAACAGTAGCTTTGAAAGTAATACAGTCAAATACTTCTTAAGTATCTGTGGAAACAAGTTTAACTTTTGAGTCCTCAACCTGTTTAAAAAAGAGCCTCAGATTTCTTACAAAGGAAAATGTGTTCTCTCATTTATCAATAACTTCAAATAAACACATGAGTAATCCTGAGTACTCACTTATCAACTTAGAAAATAAATATGAGAATATCTCAAATTTCTGAGTATGGAAAAAATTACATTCTATTCCCCACTTATCAGCAGATTCAAAAATGAATCATCCCAATTTATGGGACCACAAAAGTAAAAGGAGTACTGACTCTCCTAACAAAGACCCAAAAAACATACAAAAGTGCATCTCAAACCTGTAACGTGCCAAATATTTGCGTTCCTGGAATCAATTCTGAACTTTTGTGAATCGATTCTGAATCTTAAGTGAATCGATTCTGAACTTTTGTGAACTGATTCTGAATCTTTATAAACAAGAATCCTGATTCAGACTTGAATCGATTTTTTTCAGCACCTCTGCCGATCACTCATACTGCCGAGCTTAGTTCTGTGGGTTAGAAGTGTATTGGTGCAGACCAGAAAATACGATTTGTTCCTTTAAATAAATGGGAGCATGTCCATGAATACACTGATAAAAAAGTAGAGAAACTTCTGAGGCAGACTGGAAGCCAATGAAGATCTTTTAGGATGGGGATGATATGCTCATACTTGACCACCCTCTTCAGGATCAGGGGCATAGCAATCCTTTCAAAAGGTGTTGAGACTTCTCTTATATATATAGAGCCGGATTAAATAAATGGACTACACTAGGCAGGCTGCATTTTTAGCCCCCCCCCCTCCATCGATGTTATTTAATGAATTGAAATCTGAAACTTACCAAATTTACTTATAAAAGTTCATTCACATTTTACGTAGCCTAGTCTTTGGTTACAAATTGGTTGTTTGTATGCCAAAATAAGTCATGTGTTGTATGTAAAACATTCTATCAGACAATTTTTTAATATTAATAATTTATACGTCATTACACAGCTGTATTAAATGCTAATAAATGATCCTCATCTTATCGATTGGAAGTGTCATTGTCAAGGCGGTACCAGTATATAACCACTAGGTGTCATTAAACTATGTAAACAGAGCAAATATGTGTCTCTTATTTGCTCTGTTTATATTTAATCACTACATTTAATTAAAAATATTTTCTGCAAAATACAATAGCTTACAACATTTATTAATGATGACAAATTAATCACATGATGGTGGAAAGACATTCAAGAATAAATAGATTAATTTGAATGGACTGAAGCATGTTTTAAAGGCTCGCAAACAAACTATAACCACACAGCTTAAATTATTACAGTATAAATTTTATACAATCTATAATCTTAAAAGAAAGTATTTTAATAAAATGAAAACGTTATCTTAAGTTTTGATCTTGCTTTATGCTCATTCAGGCTGTTTTTGCCTCTGCTGAATCAGAAATTCTGTGTCAATTTTCTGAGTGTGAACTTATTGTTTTGCTATTTGAACATTAATAAAATTATTTGACAAATAATTAATAAAACCAGCAACACTTACCAAGGAAACCATTTAGCATGCTCCGCTCCGGGATAATCTTCAGCCTTCCAGCATCACAGGGCCTCAATCACAGCAGAAACACGTCTAAAGAAATGTTCCTTGGTTAAGCTTCGGTTTATGTCTCCACATTTCCTCTGTGATGCCGAAGAATAACCAATATTTTGAGAGAGTGGTTTAGTGCAAAGTACTCACACATCCTGTCATCAGTTTGGTACCACTTTGCAGGATCAGATGGGTAGCTAGTTGTCAATACCCTTTCTGGGTCTAGAGGCTCCTGCTGTAAGACTATATTGGGCTCACTTCTGGCTGGCTGCTGTTCTTCCAGTTTGTCCATGTGTGAAGGCGCTGATGTTGACGGCGTTGGCGCTACAGCGTCTTCCGCCGCATCTTCCACCACGTCTTCGGGTCGTGTCTCCTCCGGGTCTGACTTGGGCCCGGCCTCTGGCTCTGCTGACTCGAGCATGTTCACAGCTGTCGGACGGCTGCCCGAGCAGCCCGACAGAAACTTCTGTAAAGCCCCCCGCTGTCTCTTCTTTAGTTCCTCTTCTTTTTTTTTCTTTTTTTTTAACGTTTTGCCGCACCCGAAAGCATCGGGAAAGTTAGCCTACTCAAAAACACCTGCTAGCTTTGTTGTGTCCCGCTCTAACTCTGACCGCTTCTCTGACGTCCTTAATTGGGTGGCGCCTTAACCCTCTGGGGTCCAGGGTGTAATTTGCCGTGAGTTTTCCTTTGTATTTCCAAAATAAAAACCATAACCAATGCCTTATGTGGTATCAATCTTTTCAGCACAACCTGGACTTTATGAATCTATACTTATTTTTTATATTTGGACATAAAGGGGTTGCATATTAGACCTTAAATCACTCAAAAACATAAAATTTGAATTGGAAAAAAGTTGTTTATTTTACTGTGAAACCAACAAACATTTATGACGAATGTTTTTTATCATTTAGAATGGTAATCTAGACTGTACATTTATAAAAAATATGACTAAATATAGCAAATAACTAATTTAAAAAAATTATTAGCCCTCTGGGATCCAGAGTGTAAATCACCGTTTTTGACTCATTTTGGTTTTTCTTTTGTATTTTCTAATAAAAACAATAAATATTGCCTTATGGGGTATCATTATTTTCAGGACAACCTGGACTATCTGAATTTATACTTATTTTCTTAATTTGGCAATAATGTACATGGATTTAGGAGTGGGGAGTGGCTCTGTCTCACGCCGAGATCTGACAGCTGCGCGGCACCGCCCACTCCTCTTGTTGGATCTCAGAGGAGCTGGATCTCTGCCTTCGTCCTCTACCTCATCATGACCCAACTCTTCTATGAGGAAGGATGGATCTGCCACATCCTCATCAATATCCTCGCTATTTGCCTCAGACTCCGGCTGCGAGTCTCTGTCCACTTCCTCTGCTTCCAGTTCAAAAAACAGCCGTACCATCTGAACTGCTGCAGAGACAATATATCTGTCCGGATCGCTCCAAAATATGAAGTTTACCATCAATATCTGTCTAACTGTTTGTTGTTACTCCGGTCGCGCCACTCCTTTCCCCGCGAAGCGGCTCCTTTTTGCGCACATCTCGTTACTCGTGCAGCCTTCCTCTCTCTCTCAGCTAGGGTTGTCACGGTATGAAAATTTAACCTCACGGTTATTGTGACCAAAATTATCACGGTTTTCGGTATTATCGCGGTATTTTTTAAACGGTGTTGCATATGTTCAGAAAGCATTGATAGTCCTGTTCTACACAAACTGAAATAGTTTAGAAAAGGTTTAACAGTGTTTATTAAACCTAAAATAACACAAAGCCTTAGCAAAAGTGCAACTTTTCACAAGTAAAGGAACAAATAGCTTCTTTTTCTGGAACGTGTTACAGTAGTCAGTGCAGGTTTAAATTATACAAATCCAAACATTCGAAACATAAACAATATGTAAACAAATCAAAGAAACACCACTTGTTTTCTCATATACTTGTTTTCTTCATTATCAAAATGAAAATCTAAAACTCCAGTCCACACTTGACTTGAGCACTGTACAAGTCAACCTTAAAAAATATGTATTTAAAATAAATAGCCACTTTAAACAAATTACTAAAATAACTACTACACTATGTAATCAAATCCAAATGTTCAAGTATAAATGGCATTGAATAAGTAAACAAATCAATGACAAGGAACTAATTGTATATTTCTCTTCATCATCAACAAATAAGATGCTTCATCCAGCAACAGGGTGTCCGTGACACGGTTTAAATGCTGGCAGAGGACGCTGCGGCTGCAGTATATAGTGTCTCGTTGCATTCTCCGTCAACCAAAAGTCCTCGCGTCATGCATTTAAGCTAAAATGCTAATGTTAACTTACCTTGCACTGGCTGTAGAGACGTGGGTGATGGTCACTCAGATGTGCCATTAGATTCGGTGTTGCTGCCTTTTGCAGACACTTGTTTCCTACACGTTCTGCAAACGGGATAGCCGTCTTCTATTAACTGTCCCTCAGCGTTTTTCAGAAATCCAAAATAT